TAAAAAATATGAAACAAATCATATTTGATTGTGTCTAAAATTTATCTTCATTCTGTACTAAGTTACCCTTAATATTTTACCTTTTATAGTGGACTGTTAATTTCTCATTCAAACTGCACCAGAACCATTATTTCTTGTTAAGCTATTCTATTTAGAAGTCTGCTGTTGCAGAAACAGAACAGTGCACACAGGAGGATATGATGACGATGATAATGATGAAAATAATCGTTATCATTTTAGTGTTGAATTTGATTTATATCATTTTGAATTTTTACTTTTTTAAGAACACAATTAAGTCAGAAGGCTTAAGGAATCATCGATTGCTTTCTCTCTTATACGTTTTAACCATTTTAGTTCAAGGAAATTTGAAACACAGTGTATCATGGGATATCTGTTTGACCACAAGGCATCYTGGGTAATCTGTTCAATCACAAGGTATTGTGGGATATCAGTTGTTTTTTTGTGGTTTTAATTTTAAAAATGATAGAAAACCTACAACTCGCAGTAGGAAATTTTAGAAGGGAGTAGAAAGTAAGAAATAATGGATCTGGCAGAAAAACAGCTCAAGCGATTTACTGAACCAATATGTAGCCGAAAGTTTTAATGGCCTTGTCCCCGTTGTCCGCACTGCATCTTGCTTTGTTTCCTGTAAATATCAAGTTATCAGACTTTTTCCCACAGTTCCATCCCGCACCGCCAAAGCCAAGGCGGGAGTCAGGCCACTTGCAATGATTGCCCTCATTTGATAAAATACCGATTCTCACCCTGTCGTAAGCTTTTAGTGAAGTTACTGTCGATTTGGAATTGAATCCCTCTCGGTTGCAGTATTTCTGCAAAGACGAGCCAGGAATCAACGACTTCCACTTGTTACGRCCGATGGACACCCTGCGATAGCGGTTGTCTGCGATTACAGAGTACAGCGATCTTGCCCTACACAAACATGCGCAAAACATGTTTTTAATCATGCATCCCAGAGCGCATACTCGTCCCCAGTGCACCTCGGTCGTCCCTTCTCCCTAACGAAGGGAGAAGGGACGACTGAGGTGCACTGGGGACGAGTATGCCCAGAGCGATCGTGTTTGCTTTACAATAATCTCTTGTGGAAAGTTTCTTTTGATTGGTTAAATAGCTTTATTAATCTATAATTGTAGATATTATTGTTTCATTAATTATGATCTGCTGAAGGTATGGCTATACTATGGCTCAAGCATGTGCCTTCAAACGCTCGTGCAATTCGTACGTACATATGTATATGTATCTGGTTTTCATAGGCAGCCCAACTATTCATCTTAAGAGCTTTATGTATTTTTCATGTGCCAAAAAATGAGAAAAGCGTGCACTCTTACTTGTAATTCACACGGATCCAGTTTGGTCTTCTCTGAAAAACCGTCATGATCATCCCCAAACAAAGACTAGTGAAGGGTGTGGCCCAGTAGGTTGGCAGCTTAGTTTCTTGATGGTCTGCGCCGGACTGGCCCCCATTCACGTGATACGCCTTCTTGTTGGTCCAGTATGACGAATCGTAGCCAAATGTGGACTGGAATAAAATGTAAAGTATTGATATTGATATACACCTAAGGGACTGTGCAATAACTACCAGGAGGATGGGGGGCGTAAAACCAGATTTCTTAAGCAGAAAATTAGTTAGAACCCCCCATTCGAAGCACTAGAAAATACCCCCCCCCCCCTCTGCTATATTAGAAATAACTTCGAAATTCACTAAAAGACGTCAGATACAAGAGGTGGCTTACAAAACTGACTTTAAGGAGGAGCAGACAAGCAAATGTGGTGCCCTTGCTTCGTTCAAATAATTTTGTTCCTGGCAAAGGTTTTCAAGGTCCAAAAAAGGCTTCTGTAATTAAACGTTTTTATGGTCAAAAACGACTTTGATATTACTTGTGCTTGTTATGTCTAATAAATCATCAATATGTTTTTCAGCTTCTACATCTTCAATTTATGTAAAAACTACATCCTCAATTTAT